CAGCCCCCCACCCCCCACCCCACCCCCAAAAAAAATATTTAAGTTTGTTTTTAAAAAATGTTTTCAATTTCAAAAATTATTTTCTACTCTAGTAAAAATAAAAGATATTTCTCAAAAATATTTTTCATTCATAAATCAAACACTAAAAATCTTTTCCGAAAAATATTTTCTAATCACCAACCAAACATGAGAAAATAAGTCAAAAATCAACTTGTTTTCCAAGAAAACATTTTCCTTCATACCAAACACACCCTAAATTAAACTTTTTTGCTTTAAATCTCAATAAAGTTTATAGATATAGGAAACTTTTATTTTTGAATGAGTTTGAGAACCTACTTTAAAATTCAAATTAATTCAATTAATACGTCATAAGGCTTATTTATGGAGATAACGCTCTAATAATGATATCATTGCAAAACATCTCTGCAAGTTAACTAATACTTAGATTAAGGCTATTTAAGAAAAAAAAATGACTAAAACCAAATAATTAAATCAATCTACTTAAAATCTGACATATATTTGCTTTTGTTTGATTTGATATTAAATAAGAAAAAATGAATTGAACTGATATATAAATTATATATTTTATTAGATAATTTAAAATGTTATAGAATTTTTTATAGCCTTGTCATATTTGTGGTTTTTATGTGTTTAATTATATTTAAATATGATTATTATAAATTATTTTTTATTATTTTTTTGAATGCTTGATTGTAACATATATTATCATTTTCTTATCAAATTTTGTTTTGATACTTCAATTTCTTTGAATGAAGACATTATGGTCCAGATTTTTATAAGAAAAAAATGAGTTCTATATTGATTTTTTTTATAGTTATTTATTTAATTTTAAATTATTAAAATTTGACTAAGTTTGCAAGTATATATGAATGTAAATTTCTTATTATACTATACTAGTGTTAATGAATAATTATCAGAGATTGTAGATTAAATTTTATATAAAGATATTAGATAAACAAATTCATCAATGTGTTCCATGCTTGCTAAGCAGATTTTGATTATAAAAATGGTTTATCCATAACTTTAATAGATTGAATGTTTAGTTTTAGTAGCAATAATTATGTGGAATTTTAGAATACAAATATTATGATAGTATTTCACCATGGATCAATTCTTAATCCTTTATTTATTTATTTATTTATTTTGGTGATGGATGAATTGACGCGGCATATCTAAGTAGAGATATTATGGTGTATTTATCTATGGATAACATAATTTTGATTGATAAGACTCAAAGTGGAATTAACAATAAGCTGAAGGTTCGGAGGTAGACCTTGGAGTTTAAAGGATTTAGGTTGAGTAGAACCAAGACATAATAGAGTAAAAGTTCAATGACATAATGCCTAAAGCTAGCATGAAAGTGAGGCTTGATACACAAGTCATTCAGAAGAGAGGAAGTTTCAAGTATTTGAGTTTATTATCAAAGAAAAAAGGAGATTGACGATAATGTCACACATCATATAGTTGTAAGTTAGATGAAATGGGAGCTCGCATCCGGAGTCTTATGTGATTAGAAGATGTCATCAAAATTTAAAGGCAAATTTTACAAAGCGATGATTAGACCGGCTATATATGTTGTATGGAGTTGAGTGTTGGCCAGTCAAAAACTTACTAATTCAAGAGAAAAAATGGTGTTTGGTTGAGAAAAGAGAGGAAGAAAGTTTGTAGCAAGAGAGGCAAAGTTGTGCAGAGAGAGAGAAGGAGGGAGAGAGAGAGAGGCAGATGACATGATTATTTTGTGGTGTATTAAATAAGTCTGAATGTTGTTAAGACTCTCCCATTCAAATTTATTTAGATTCATTTAGAGTTTTTTAAAAAATAAATAAATAAATGAACTTAATAATGTTGAATCTGAATTTATTGAATGCAAACAAATGGGGCCTAAATATAAAGACAACCTAATGACTTTGACTTCTTAATCCTTTCCATGTCATGTTTATGTTCTATTGGCTATCTTGTTTCCTTTTTATGTATATATGTATGCTCGTGTTTCATTCCGTCATTTTATATATAATAACACAATTCAATATCTACTTATATTTTTTTGTTAGGGGTATTGTAGCTTTTAAATTATGCAGATTCAGACACATGCGATTAGGACAGACGCTAAAATTTTCGTATTTTACTTCAGGTGAGCCCCCACCTTGCTTTCAAGGGTTTAGTCCTATCTTTCAGCACATTAGATTATTTCGCTTAAGGTATGTCGATCGATGCCTTCTCCTGATAATCAATATTCAGTATGTAGATGCTTCACAAGTATAGACAATAATATGTTGTTATCACACGTATTCCCATTGTAGCTGTTGTATTGTTGTATGATAATTAACATTATGATTAATAGAAAGTGTCTATTTTACAAGAAATATCCCCTCAAATGCTTGAAATTATGTTTTCCGTTTATGTCTAAATAAAAATGTGTGCACTATATTCAAGGCCGTCTTAACCCCTAGGCCACTAAAGTCATCGTTTGGGGCTCAATATATTTTGGGGCCCCTATTTAAAAAAAAACAATTACTTATATATGTTTTTCTTTTATATATATACTATGAGTGTTATGATTTCTACTAAGAAAATAAATCTGAATTTCGTAAGAAACAATTTGATTTGAACCAATTGAAGCATATGAAAATATTTTTGGTTTCTTATTTAGTGGTAAAATATTGAGATCACTAGATGATGAGAATTTAAAAAGTATTGTCTTAACCTTGAACTTTCTTTAACACGTAGTAGTTATTCTGATATTGATGGTTTAGATTAATTTTTTGAATTAGTGTTAAGTGAAATAATACAAGTAGAAGATAATGATCTAAAGAAAATACTCAATCAAATAAAAAGACTGATTCTTTTCCAAATACACATATTGCTTATAGAATAATGTTAACAAGTTGCTATAACCGTTGCCTCAGCCGAAAGAAGTTTTTTCAATATTAAAATTGATTAAATCTTCTTTAAGATCAACAATGTCTCAAGAGATATTGAATGAATTAGATATATTATCATTTGAAAATGAATTATTAAAAAATAAATTGATTATAAAACAGTACCTAATGACTTTGCATCTAAAATAGCTAGAAAACTAGATTTTAAATAAAAGTATATATGATGAAAAAAGATATTAGGCCCCTCTCTTAAATGTTCCTTTAGGCCCCCAATGTTATTGAGTCGGCCCTGACTATATTATGTTATGCTACGGATACGCTTGGGCAAACAATGCTCATGAGTAGTGGTGGCAAATGAGTGGATTGGGTAAATTTTGGGCGGATTGAAAATGGGTCAACATAAAATGGGTAATAATTCAATCCGCCTATATTTGATATGGGTAAAAATGGATTGGGTAAGATATGAGTTGGGTAAAATACTAGTTACCCATATTTCATGAGTAAATAGTACTCTACTTAAGAATTCAACATGGAGAAAATACTTTAATCTTTTTTTAGATGAAAAATATTGTTGAAAATGCTTCATTTAGTTTTATTGTATCAATAAAAGTAAAAAAAAAATCCTAATAACTTGTCAATATAAAATAAAATTATGTAATAACAAGGGGAAAATATTTTTAATTTCAAAGAAAAGGAATATTTGCATTTTAGGACTAAAACATGCTTAATGCGCTTTAAGCAATGCCAATACCAATACATGATTTGCTTATTTTACACTATGTATTTATTATTCAATATAAAATTAAACAAATAAAAAAATATAATTATAAGTAACAAAAGAAATGTACATTTAAAATATATATTTTTGGAGGGCCAAAGACTTCACTTTTTCAATTATAGTGAAAAATAATTAGTTCTATAGAAGAACATAAAAAGCAAGAGAAATTACAATTTTTTTAGTGATATCATGAATTTATAATGAATAAAAGTTAGAAACTTAACCATTTGACTAATCCATACTTTACCCATATTTTTTGTATAACTTACATAAATCGCATAGTGTAAGGACCTAAATTACATTTTATCCCTACTCTTTTTCAATTTACAAAA